ATTCTACAGAACAGTGAATATTCACAATTATAACTAAAATTGTTAAACAGAGTATGATAAAACCTTAATTTTGTCTCCAACTATTTATTATAAAATGGTAATGTCCATTTTCTCACATAAATGCTACTGTTTAACGACTACAGATTACCACTATTCACTTTTAGTCACTTTAAAATCATGACCCTTATTATGCTCAGCATTGTCACTTGCATAACTTGAAGTACTTAAATCTATAAAGCTTCAGCCTACTTTTAAAAAGCACTGAGTAAATATTTTCAAATTAATGAAACAGAAGCCAAATGATTAACTACAAATAAAATACTGTTTTTCTACAGCACTTACATACATTCACCTTTGCATCACAAGTAGTATAGCAAATTTTAAAACCTAAAAATACATACAGTATTGATTATATAAGCACAACTAACCTACACAGGTGGCATAACATTAAGAATCAATGAGCAATCTTCAGCTTCTATTGATAGAACAAAAGTGTATCAATAGATACTGAGGCTTATACATAAACATACACATATAATCTGTCATATAATGCTTTATTTCCTTATTTACCCCCAACAAAGAAACACCTCTAGAGCAGCGGAACATAGAGCTAGCTTGGCTTGCTCTTCAGGTGGCACAGATCAGGGTTATGCCTTCTCTGCCTACTCTTAGGCACTGCTTTGAGCTTTCAAATCCTTGCTCCAAAACGTTTCCAAGGGAATTTTAAAAACAAAGAGACAAATATTACACCAGCAGCCAGACTGGGTGCTCAGATGAGGAGAGGAGGAGCAAGGATGACCCTTTCTGTAATATACCCTTTTAGGGAGCAAAAAAAAAAAACACTGGATATGGACAAATAAATACATCTCTGGGTCACCATTTCTCCACTTTTTAAGTAGGAAAGAGGCGGTATACTAGGGACTAAATACTTTTTAACAATATTTTTATTGCAACATTCTGAGTCTTCTAAGGCCTCACCTCAACAACTTGGATAGCAGATCTAAATAAGAACTTGAGTAACTCTTAGTTCAATATTCCTTTCCTCCACATTACCTGCCTTTTAGGAATGTGTGCCTAGTCAATAAAAGCTACTTCCGCATGTCATCATTAACCATAAAGTAAGACAAAACCAATCGTGTATCCGTGTTGAAAGCCTTTTTACCCATAATAAACCTCACTTGAAATGGCATTAGAACTTTCAATGAAGGTATACTTTAAACACTCCGCTTTCGTCTTTGCAAATGCATTTTAAACTGCTGCTGCAAGCAAAAGGAAAACATCACACGCTTCTAAAACCGAAGGCCTGTGCCTTTTTCTCTAAGGACGACCGTGTGGCCTTTTCTTGTCAGAGGGTCTGCAGTAAGACAAGACACAACACGTAAAGACACCTATTCTAGGAAGACCGGCAACTACCCCGGGATAGCAAGAGGGCAGCAGCCTTGTAAAGAGGGTTTTGTTGTTGTTGTTTAAATTCAAGGACTTTGAGGAGATTCCTCCAAGCAGAGCGGGAGGTAGCAAAAGCCTATTGAATAGGGGTG